GCCCAGACTGGAGTGCAGTGGCCACTCCCGGCCACCGCAGCCTCCACCTGCTGGGCTCCAGCGATCCTTCTGCCTCAGCCAAGTAGCTGGATCTACAGGCGCGCACTACCACACCCGGCTAATCTTTTGATTTATTGTAGAGATGAGGTCTCACCAAGTTGTCCAAGCGGGTCTCGAACCGCGGGCTCAGGCAATCCACTCACCTCAGCCTCCCAAGGCGTGGGATTACAGGCTGAGCCACCGAGCCCGGCTCTTTATTTTTTTTACTTTTATATTTTATTTTGAGAAAGCAGGATTTATTAAAATGACAGAAAAGCTCCCACAGTGGGAAGTGACCTGAAGGGGTTGCCCTCTAGCCTTCCTTTCAAACTGGAAACTTAGACCAGAGGCCCCAGAAAGAGACAGGGGATAGGCCTTCAGCACTCCCCCTGGAACACCCTGTGGTACCATACCCTCATTGGCTCCTTTCCGAAGCTGCTTGTAGTTACATGACTGCTGAACAAGGTCCAACAGCTTCTTGGTGAGATGGGCATCTGCAAGGGGATAGGCCTTCGGATTTACATCAGCCTCAGTCTATGGCAGGAAATAAAAGCATCAATCAAACTGAACCAGGAGTTGTCCTGGTCAAGTTGTAAAACAATAATCAACAACTGAGACACAGAGGGCACCCTCCCTGCTCCCCCATCCGCAAGCACATAAAACACAGTGTAATTAACAATGGCTTATCCATTCTCAGTTTAGGAAAACTGAAATACACTATTAGGGCTAAAGGGAAAGTTAGTAATCAACATAGTTTAATAATGTATACTAAAGCTTATGTATTTTTATTTTTGTCTCTCTTCAACCTAATGTTTGATAATATTACAGCAGATTATAAACAGGCTTTCCATGGCTCAGCACTGATTTGAGTGACTGTGGTAATCTTTAGGGACTTCCATATTCTACTCCACATTTACTGAATCAATATTAAGGTATAATTTACAGTGAATGCTTCCAACACATCGAAATATTTCCTCACTTATTCTGCCCTACAATACATACAAAATGGTTCCAGATTTGCTACACCAATACCACCTCTACCAACAAACTCACCAAGGTCAATATTTCTTTTTGCTCTTACAATATATCCTATCAAAGTCATAATATTCAGTGAGAATATTATGTTCAAAAGTTATTCAAATTAATTTTCTCCTTGTGGTTAAACAATTTGATATACAATTAGAGTTCTTCTGTTTGTAGTCAGTTTGCTTTAAATTGTACTTGTCAAATACGTAATACATCTACACAGTTCAAAAGCCCAAACTACGCAGCAGTATCAACTGAACGTTTGGAAAACTGCTAAAGGAAAACAAGCATCTATCCTGTCTTTCCTATTCAGAATGTATTACTAGGAAACAAAATAGTAGACAAATTTTCTCTTGTTCCACCCAATAAAGAGGAAATGATACACTTAAATATCAACAATTTGCAACCCTTAACTAGTTAATTAATTAATAGGTCCACACAGTAACAGCTGCTAACATCACAAAAGACAATCAGACACCACATGATCATCTCTCCACTTGAAGAAACATCGATGTTCAAATAAGTCTTGTGGGAAAAATGGAAAGAAAATGTGATCAAGCTTTTGAGCCTAATACTAGATATTTCATATTAAGGAATTATTAAATTTTGAGGTGTTATAATGACACTTGCAATCGTTAAAAAAAAAACCCTTATTTTATAGATACATACTGTAATACTTATGGATAAAATGACACAGAGATGTGTGTCAAAATAATAGATTGGGAGCGAACTGGGTGGGTGGCCTGGCCTATTTCATTCCTTTCACTTCATTCCCATATCTCCAGTTAACCACTTTCATTAATGTCTCGTTTGTCCAATGAGTTGCTTTTACAAATACATATTTATATTATACTCCGGGTGCAGACCCTACGTCGCCATTGCATGCGCCACCTGCATCGTGAGCGATTTGCCGCGGCGGTCCTCCTAACCTCTGTCTGGAGGCGGGATGACAAAGGAGGGACCGCGGTTCTCGGCAGTCACAGGTGACGGCCGGGGGGGAACACTAAAAATCGTGCCTGCCTCAGTGGTCTCCTGCAGGATACTGTAAGAACACATCACGTCTGCTTTTTTCCTCCTCCAATTTTTAATAATGAAGCTGGACCACGCATGCGGCACCACGGTTCTCCGCAGGCGACCCACGGGTAACAGCCCAGTAGGAACACTCACCATCGCGCCTGTCTTGGTAGCCTTTTGCCGGATAGCGCAACGACCCAACGTGTGGTTGGGTGGTCTACTGCCCGATACCGCAAGGGCAGAAAATGCTTCAGCCCCCGGGAGACGGAAGTGACATAAGGTGACGTCAACGGAAGTGACATCACAGGCCAGCTAGCGCCAGGACCCCATCTCCTCCCTGATACATTGCGTTAGATGAACCTGTCATGGTCCCCGGGTGACTGGGAGGAATTGGGTAAAGGCTGGTGGAGTTCCCTAAATAAGTGAGGGGAAAACGTCTCCATATTATTTGTTGCTCTTCCCCATATATTTTAGATAATTTTCTCAAGGTTCACAAAAAAAGTCTACTGGGACTGTTCGATTTATAGATTTGATTCGAGGAAAACACCTTTAGGATACAGGATATAGGATATATATGCTTAGATCATTAGTGCTTTTAATAATTTTTTTCATAAAGATTTATTTCATTTATTTGAGACAGGCTCTGTTCCCAGGCTGGAGTGCAAGTGGTGTGATCCTAGCACACTGCAGCCTTGAACTCCTGGGCTCGGGGCTTCTCTTGCTGCAATTACAGGGGTGAATTACCACACCACATTGGGCCAATATCTTTTCAACTTATTCTTAGACACTTTAGGTTAAGAAAAATTCACTCATTTCTAGTCTACTAAAAATTTCTGGTTGGAAGCAGGAGGATAGTTTGGGCCCAAGAGTTCAAGGCTGCAGTGAGCTAGGATCACATCACAGCATTTGCTTTGTCTAAGTGACAAAGCAAGACACCATGTCTTAAAATAATAATAATTCAAGCCGGGCTCGGTGGCTCAGCCTGTAATCCCGCGCCTTTGGGAGGCTGAGGTGAGTGGATTGCCTGAGCCCGCGGGTTCGAGACCCGCCTGGGCAGCGAGACCTCATCTCTACAATAAATCAAAAAAATCAGCCGGGCGTGGTAGCGCACGCCTGTAATCCCGGCTACTCGGAAGGCTGAGGCGGAAGGATCGCCGGAGCCCAGCAGGTCGAGGCTGCGGTGGTCGGGAGCGGCCACTGCACTCCAGTCTGGGCGACAGAGTGAGACTCCAACTCAAAAATAAATAAATAAATAAAATAATAATAATAATTCTTTCTTTATAAATGAATTGAATTTTATCAGGTTTTTTTCTTTTGCATTCAGGTTTTTTTCTTTTGCATTAACAAAGATGAATAAGATTTTTCTCCTTTCTTTTTTGTAAGCTTAAAAAAATTTTTTTTTGAATTCGGGACTTCTTCTGTCACCCAGGCTAAAGTGCAGTGGAATGATTCATTGCAACCTTGACTTCCTAGGCTCAGGTGATCCTTCTGCCTCAGCTTCTGTAGGAGCTGGGACTACAAATGTGTGCCACTATGCCCGACTCTTTTTTTGTAGAGACGAGGTCTCTATGTTGCCTAGGCCTCCCAAAGTGCTGGGATTACAGGTATGAGCCATTGCGCCCAGTCTTGTACAGCTTTTCTAATGTGAAATCAATTTTGCTTTCCTGTGATTAAACCAATTTAAGAGTTACTCTTTTAATTTTTAAAAAATCTGTTAGCTAATGGGTATAAGGTTTCTTTCTGGAGTAGATAAAAACAATTCTCTAAAATTAGATAGTGTTGGTCGCACAACTGTGTAAACATATGAAGAATGAGCTACACACTTTTTTTTTTTTTTGAGTTGGAGTCTCACTCGGTCGCCCAGACTGGAGTGCAGTGGCCGCTCCCGGCCACCGCAGCCTCAACCTGCTGGGCTCTGGCGATCCTTCCTCCTCAGCCTTCCGAGTAGCCGGAATTACAGGCATGAGCTACCATGCCCGGCTGATTTTTTGATTTATTGTAGAGATGAAGTCTCGCTGCCCAGGCGAGTCTCGAACCCACGGGCTCAGGCAATCCACTCGCCTTGGCCTCCCAAAGTGCTGGGATTACAGGCTGAACCACCAAGTCACCTCAGCCTCCCAAAGGCGCGGATTACAGGCTGAGCCACCGAGCCCGGCTTTTTTTTTTTTTTTGAGTTGGAGCCTCACTGTTGCCCAGGTTAGAGTGCAGTGGCACGCTCATGGCCACCGCAGCCTCAACCCGCCGGGTTCAGGCGATCCTTCCACCTCAGCCTTCCAAGTAGCTGGAACTACAGCCATGCGCTACCATGCCCAGCTAATTTTTTAATTTATTATAGAGACGATGTCTCACCATGTTGCCCAGGCTGGTCTCGAACCCCTGGGCTTAGGCAATCCTCTCACCTCGCCTCCCAAAGTGGTGGGATTACAAGCTTGAGTCACCGTGCCAGGTCAAGTTATATACTTTAAACAGATAGGCTTTATGGTATATACATCATTTCATAAAGCTACTTTTATTTATTTTTTGAGACAGTATTTCACTTTGTTTTCCAAGCTGAAAACAAAGTGAAATACTGCAGTGGCAAGATCATGGCTTACCACAGCCTGGAACTCCTAGACTCAAGCCTCTCCAGTAGCTGGAGGTATAGTCGCACACCACCACGTCTGGGTAGTTTTTCTATTTTTTTGTTTCACTGTTGCCCAGGCTGGTCTTAAACTCCTTGCAAGTGATCCTCCTGCCCTAGCATCCCAAAACAATAGAATTATAGGTGTGAGCCTGCATATTTCTTTTCTTTTTTCTTTTTCTTTTTTTTTGAGTTGGAGTCTCACTCCATCGCCCAGGCTGGAGTGCAGTGGCACACTCACTGCCACTCCATCGTCGACCTGCTGGTCTCAGGTGATCCTTCTGCCTCAGCCTTCCAAGCAGCTTGAACTACAGGTGTGAGCTACCACGCCTGGCTAATTTTTTTGGTTTATTGTAGAGATGAGGTCTCGCCAAGTTGTCCAGACTGGTCTTGAACCCTCAGGCTCAGGCAATCCACTCGCCTTGACCTCCCAAAGTGCTGGGATTACAGGCTGAACCACCAAGTCCTGCCATAAAGCTATTTCTTAAAAAATTACATCCAGTTTTTTTCTTGCTAAAAAAAATTAATTTATTATTCAGTTTTTCTATCTCTACTTGAATTGGTTTGGATACATTAGGGTTTTTTCAGGCATTTGTTCATTTCCTCTAGATTTCTCTATAGGTATAAAATCCTAAATAAATCATAATATCCCTTCTTTTAATGTCTACAAATTATGTCTCCTTCATGCTTGTTCATACCTTTCCTCTTATTTATCTTTCTGGAAGGGATTTTTCAGAGAATCATCTGATTTTGTCCATCCTATAACAGAAGGATCTATTTTCTATTTCAGTAATTTGTTTTTATTTTTTTTAAACTCAACTCTCTTTGGGATTATTTTGTCCTTGTTTTTTTTTCCCTATCTGCTTTTAGCCCCTTCCCCCCTAGCACAAGCATTTTAGGTTCCAAGTAATGCTTTCTTTTTTCTTGAGTAGGATTCTCTCACTCTGTCCCCCAGGCTGGAGTACAGTGGTACGCTCATGGCCACCACAGCCTCAACCTGCTGGGCTCAGATGATCCTTCCACCTTAGCCTTCCAGCTACTTAGCTGGAACCACAGGTGCGCACCACCACACCCAGCTAATTTTTTTTCTTTATTGTAGAGACAAAGTCTTGTCAAGTTGCCCAGGTTGGTCTTGAGCCCCTGGACTCAGGCAATCCTCTCACCTCCGCCTCCCAAAGTGCTGGGATTACAGGCATGAGCCATCATGCCCGGCCCAAAGTAATACTTTCATTGTATGCTACATGCTCTGATATGTATTATTTTCATTACTGTTCAGTTTTGTTTTTGAATTTCCAATATAATTTTTTAAACTGACCCATAATTTATACTTTCAATTCAAAATACTTTGTTACTAACTTTTACTTATTTGCATTTTGGTTGGGAGAAAATGGGAGCAAGAATATTACCAATCTTTCAAAACTTATTGGGTTTGCTTTATGACCCAGTAGGTCACTAATTTTCTTTTCTTTTTTTGATTCGGAGTCTCATTCTGTCACCCAGGCTGGAGTATAGTGGCATACTCATGGTCACTGCAGCCTCGACCTACTGAGTTCAGGTGATCCTTCTGCATCAGCCTTCCAAGTAGCTGTGTGCTTCGATACCGAGCTAATTTTTTGATTTATTGTAGAGATGAGGTCTCAAACCCGGGGGCTCAGGCATTCCTCTCGCCTCCGCCTCCCAAAGTGTTGAGGTTACAGGTGTTAAGCAATTGCTCCCAGCTGGTCGCAAATTTTTATAAATTTGCCTGACAAATGTCTTCTAAACTGTGCATGGTGGCTCACACCCGTAATTTCAGTGACTTGAGAAAGTAAGGAAGGAGGACTGCTTGACGCCAGAAGCAAGACCAGCCTGGGCAATGTAGAGATAACATCTCTACAAAAAATAAAATTAAGTGGGCATGGTGGTGCTCGTCTACAGTCCCAGCCATTATGGAGGCTGAGGCAGGAGGAGCACTCAATCCTAGGAGTTCAAGGGTGCAATGAGCCGTGATCTCACTACTGCACTCCAGCCTGGGATCAAGTTTATTCATTATGTTGTTCAAATCCTCCATTTTTTTTTTTTTTTTTTTTTTGAGTTGGATTCTCACTGTGTCGCCCAGGCTGGAGTGCAGTGGCACTCTCACGGTCAACCCCAGCATCAACCCGCTGGGTTCTGGCAATCCTTCCACCTCAGTCTTCCAAGTAGCCGGAACTAGACGTGTGCTACCATGCCCGCTAATTTTTTAATTTATTGTAGAGGCAAGGTCTCACCAAGTTGCCCTGGCTGGTCTTGGACCTGTGGGCTCAGGCAATCCACTCACCTCGGCCTCCCAAAGTGCTGGGATTACAGGCTGAGCCACCGAGCCCGGCCTAAATCCTCTATTTCTATACTGTATGTTTTTGGCTTCCCATGATCTATCAGTTCATATACCTAAGTTTTTAGCCACTCTCTTTTTTCTTGAGTGTGCCATTGCCCAGGCTGGAGTGCAATGGCACGCTCACGGTCACTACAACCTCAGCCTGCTGTGCTCAAGTGGTCCTTTTGCCACAGTCTTGCAAGTAGCTGAAACTACAGGTGTGTGCCACCACGCCTGGCTAATTTTTTGATTAGCCAAGCTGCCCAGGCTGATCTCGAACCCATGGACTCGGGCAATCCTCTCACCTCTGCCTCTAA